CTATCATTCAATTTATAGCATTTATAGTTAGTATATTGGCACAGACGTTGTGACTTGTTGATCAGTTATTGCAATAAAGTTTTCAAAGTCGCTAACTCCGCTAACTTCCTAAAACTTGCATTTTAAATACTAGAAATTGTGACTTTCATAACTAACATGTTTTTTACGCAATCATTTCATATGTTCGCAAATTTTAATAGACTCTGTTGCCTCACTAACAATACTTCCTCTAGTGTATCATACCGTGCGGACCCCAGAGGCTTACAGCGTAATCTTACTATACTTCTTTGTTTCCCTGGTGCCTTGCTCTAGACATTTCCTGCGGTATTATTGATCTGTCAATCTCTTTTTGTGGGCGCGTGTCGCTACCAGACATTGAAAATTTAATATTCCTAGTGTTCCAGCAGTTTCTTTTAACGAATGTCAATAAGAACACGACTTTTTCAGTTTGGACCCAGGTAACTTGTTCCATCGGATTTTGATTTTCTTTACCATGTTCCTGTCCAGATAGTCGTATAGATAATGCTTAGGTTTCTAATGTTAGTCACGATTTCTCGTCCACTATTTCATTGCTTGCTTCTGGTAACAGTTCCCAATGCTGCCCTGCTACCCAAAACACTTCTGGCTGATAAGAGGTTACTGCCTTGATTGATACTTGGCTGTCTACGTAGATGCTTTACCCAAAGGTTCTATATGTAAATTTTCCTGTTGCCAATGGCCTTCCGCGCTACGCAGTTTTCAGTGAAGAGGTGGCAGGTTTAGTACCAGTATTAGAAGGAATCTACTACTTCGATGAAACATTTCTTTAAAAAAAAAATGTGTTTCAAATCCTGAGTGTCTAATCCTGAGGTGTCTAATAACCTTTTTAGCATTTCGACAACAAGGCAGGCTGGAGTTCTTGAGTTATGTGACCTTTATTCTACGAACGAAAGACTCGTAATACCTTTTATGAAGGTTTTTTTTTCAAAATATCCAAAAATAAAATGAAGTGTTTCTGTAATTTTTTTTGTGGAAAAATTTATTTTGGAAATCTTTTTGAAGTCTGCCATTTTTGAAAGAACATTTTTTTCGATTTATTGATCCGTATGGTTTATTGCATTTCTCGGGTTTCGGGTTGGCTTTTTTGAACTGACATATTATATATGAATATAGTTTTTATATGGCATCTATGGATTTGAGAAACTAATGATAGACTATATTTAATCATCATTTAGTATCCCTAACTACTAAATTCCCAAAAGAGTTGTTATGGGCAAAGGTTGGCACTGCAAAGTAGGCTGATCTAATTTCTTTACATGTTTCAAAAATAATTTAGTAAACTAGTCAGACTAGCTTTAAGCTTGAAGCTATCATTTGAATTATTTCAAAACAAACCAGTTAGTAAGTGGAAGTGCAACTACTGCGGGTTCCGCGATGGCTTTTTTTTAATCAGTTACAATATTAGTGTTTATATGACCGATTTTAAACTTTGGCGTCCAACTTTGGTGTGGTGTGGTGTCTCTAGTATTTAGGTTAACAATTCTGTTAAATTTAATTATTATTTCAATTACTTCTAGTAATTATAACCTTACCGCTCTTCCTCCCAAATAATTATTTAATTTGCTTGGTCAATGAAAAGTAAGTCACAAAAGCACAATAAACGCAAAGCAATTATCATCGAAAACAAAGAATCAATAAGCGATTAAGTTCGATATGTCCCTGCTCTTATTCTTCGCCAAAAAAACTGGCACAAAAGTAACTTGTAACTGCAGTAAATAGCTTTATAATTTTGTCTCGAGTTTTTTCCTCAACGCACTAGACACTTTAGACATCGGTGAATTCAGGGCAGCCGAAAAATGAGCGCAGATAAATATATATATGTATTATATATATATAGGTACATATGTATATGTTTGTTTGGAGGCCTGCTTTCAGAAATAAGTAACATAACATAAAACATATCGACATTTAGCCATGGAACAGTCGCAACCGTTAAAATTCGGACAATTAAAAAATAAATTTTCATTTGTCCGTTTCTATATACGCGTACTAGTCCCTCAGTTTGCGAGATATCGTAATGAAGTTTTGGACACCTCCTTTTCTTTGCAAGAAGCTGTTTATTTGTTGGAACTATCGATATCGGATCACTATAGCATATAGCTGCTATACAAACTGAGCGTTCGGAATAAAGTGCTTCTATGAAGAGATCTTTCAATTGACGAGCTATCTACGTGAAATTTGGCTTGGACTATTATCTAAGGTAATGGTGCCATCTGCAGAGAAATTGTGCAGATCGGATCACCATAGCATATGGCTGCCATACAAATTGAACTATCGATAACAAGTGCTTGTATGGAAAGCTCTTTCAATTGATCGCTAAAAATCAAATTTTTGTAAGGACAATTTTGTGTTTGTGAAAGAAAATTTAATATTTTCAATGAATATATTACACCTACAACCAATTCGGAAAATATATTTTTAATTTGAAATAAAACTTGATTTTATAACAATTTTTAGACGATCTAAATACTTTTACGCTCCACTGTATAAACTATCGGCATACCAGATAATCCACACGTGACAAATTACAATTTTTTTCTTGTGTCTAAAGCGCACAATGCGCATTCGAAACGTGCTTTACGTGAATGCTCCAAAAGCTCACAAAGACACACAAACATATTAAAGAAATGTCTCCAGCTTAACATGCCAATAGACCGGGTATGCCAAGCGTAATTCTCATATGCACATTTGACCGTTCAGTTGACTGCATTCAAGTGCCCCATTTCCAATAGTTTTTTTTCAACAAACACTCACGTGACAGTAGCCACTCCAATTCAAAGCCATTTGGGTCAAACTCGGTACTTGGCTTATGAGTACGAGCACATATGAGCTTGTGTGCATAGGTATCTGTAGGTATGTATATCCCCATAATCTATTTAAATATAGATATACAGACATAAGTATGTACGCAGCTATCTACCTATCTACAATCTCATTCAATTTGTTTGTAGTTGTGTTTGTGTTCAAGTTACGTACTCCACTTCATGTGCGCCTTTCTTTATCTGCCTCACATTTTTAACATTCCAAACCTTGACATTATTAAACTTGATTAGCCTTTGAAAAAGTCTGTTTGGATAAAGTTGCTCGAAATTGGAAGATATGCACAGTTGAATGTTGATGGGTTCCTACAGTAATTGAATTATATAGTTGAAATTTGAGTTAGAAGTGGAATCACAGTAATGCAAAATCTGTACAATGTTTATTTTGGTACCTCGAGGCGATTGTGAATTCGGTCTTAAGACTTTTGCACAGCGATTCTAATAACAATTGTGGAATAAGTTTTTATACTGGTTAAGATTGCCAAAGATCAGGCTGCCTTCTGAGATGATAGTTGACAAAGACGAAGTAAAGCGCAGATAGAGGAGTTTGAAAGTTTTCTGAAAAAGAAACAATCAAAAATTCTTGTTGAAACCAATAGGCAAAGCGGTTTGCTTACAAAATAAAGCGGCCGGAACTGTGCCCAAAATCCAGACAAGGAAAAGAGCAGAACAATGTAGCAGTAGCAAGGCACTGCCGCTGACTGTCATAGAAGGGACCTCTTTCTAACCGAGCACCTTAGAGAAGAGCTGGGTGGAGATCGACGTCGGATTTATGGGTACTTGTGTCCCGTTTTAAGTATTGTACTCGACAAATAAGATTACGAAAATGTTCCTTCCAACAGATCTTCAGATCTCTGCAGATTCTCAGATCTCTACAGATCTTCATTATTGAGTTTATGCTATTCTATGATTTGTTAGTGCTTTAGTTCCTTTCGTCGTAGGGTACCCCGGTAATATGTTACATACTAGCTTTGACAATCTAACCTCTTTATTTCTCATAATGACGGACGCTAGTTCATAAATTTGTATGGAAGACGTTGAGGTGGCAATGTCCAGGTACTTTCCCCTCAATTGTCTAGCATTTGCCATTCTGACATTAAAATATTTCGACAGTCATACCTTCGGCGAACCAGGAGACATAACTGAACATTCGCCGCCTGAAAGCGTTTTGTCACTTTATGAGGATTTTTATCCACAATTATATAAGAGTTTTAGATATCTCAACGGACTATCGATGTCAGCTGTTCAAGTGACACCCCTGTTAGGATTAAAATTTTAATCTAATCTAACCTACAGAACTGTTTGCTTAGAAAGGAATACGGTAACGTACGTATGGTTTAATCCCAAGGAATGGCAGGACTTGTGAAGTACTGGCCATAAGGAGTCCACATAAGATTTTTTTCATTTCTTGAACGCTTTTGCTTATCAAAAATATTAGAGAGTGTGGCCATAAAGATGTCCATTATAAAGAAATCCATCGATTGATGCAATGTGTAGGAAGTGGCGCGGTCTTGTTGAAATCAAATTTCGCCGAGATCACGAGCTTCAATTTCAGGCAGTGCGTTTTCAATGACTCCACTGGTCCACAAACCACATCAAAGCGTTATTTTCTGGCTGAAATGGGAGTTCTTGAATCTCTTCAGGTTGCTCTTCGTCCCAAATAAGCAATTGTGCTTGTTTACACACCCATTGAGCCAAAAGTGAGCCTCACCGCTGAACAAAATTTGTCTCATAAACGTCAGATTTTCTTGGAACTATTCCACAGATCGATGCGATGACGTTTGGGAAGGTCGGTCGGCTTCTAGACTGCGTTTCTTTTTCAGGTCGTTAAAAATATAGTTGGCTATGGTCATATTGGTTCTTAATAGCCACAATAGTTATATCGAAAATATTATGTTGTTATCAAAATCGACTTTGAAAACAGATCCTAATCACAAGATACAAAAATCTCATAAAATCCAATCATTTTGTAAGAAATTTAATGAAGAAGATCGCAGAATACTAAATTAACCATTATTGAAAAAATGCACCCTGTATAATATCTTTTCTAAATCTGACAGAAATTATATTTTACACTTTTTTGACATTCCGAAACACAAACAAAATTACTAATATTTTTCTTTCTTTTCTTTGTATAAACAGCAAAAAATCACCGTCAGACTGGACCCACAAAAAGTTAGCAACAATTAGCGAAATTAAAACACCACAAAGCATTTTAAGTAAAAAAATATTTAAAGCACGTAGTAAAATATAAACAATAATAAATAAACCAGCAAAATGGCACCGATGCCCAGCATGAAGGGCACCAAGCCCAACGGAGATTTCCTCTACGTCGAGGCCGAATCGCCGGGTGACTCAAGTCCCACACCCTCAACGCCACCCTCCAGCACAGGTGAGCTAAACGAAGTGTGAATTTTCGCTTGAAATATTTCATTTTGTCTTTCTTCATTTGCAAATATGTGTAGACGCTGCCAAATCGCAATGCTCCTCACTTTCGGACGGCGAATCATATGAGGGTTACGGCGAAAACGCAGTGCGCGGCCTGCATCAGCGCCATCATCAGCGCACCGCATCTAGCGTTTCGGCCGGTTTATTGGGTGCCGATGTTGTCAATAATAATAATAGCAACACTGCTGCTGGTGGCAGTGGTGTTGGCGGTGTTGAATTGGAGCTGGCGCCACACGACAATGCTGTAACGGCATCGAACAAGTGAGTTTGCCGAAATTTCGTGCAAAAAAAGTTGTTGTCATTCATTAATTTGTGCTTAATTTTTTTCATGCCGACATGCAATTTGTAGCGATGACGAGCTGAGCATCATTCCGCGCGACAATTGGGCACGCATGAGCTTACGTCGCACCACCACCTCTTCCAGGTGAGTTGTTATACATAGAAATATTCAGGAATAGCTAGTTAGTTGTAGTGTCATTTAGTAAAATTTTTATTACACCCTGCACAGCGGTAACACAGAAGGAAACGTCGTAGGCTATTCAGTGCGACGAGCTGAGTCGCTTTAGCCATGTTCCTTTGTTACTCAGTTCTTGAGATATTGATGTGAAATTTTGCACACGTTCATTTCTCATTAATGAGCCTCTTAATTGACGGAACCGCCTATATCGTAGCTCTATAGTATAATATATAGCTGTCATACAAACTTATTAATCAAAATCAAGTACTTGTATAGAATTTTTTTTTATTTGTCTAGGTATCCTGACGAAATTTACACACAAAATATTAACCAAAGAAACGCTACAATTTCCGAAGAAATTGTTCAGATCGGATCACTATATTATATAGCTGCCATACACTGAGCTGATCACTCAAAATCCAATCTTTGTACGAAAAACATTTTTGTTTTAGAAGATATTTTCACGAAATTCGGTACACAAGTTTGTCCAAAGCAGCACTATAATCTCCGAACAAATTGTGCAGATCGGACTTATATAACTTATGGCTGTCATACAAACTGATCGTTCAAAATAAAATTCTTGTATGGAAAACTCTTTTATTTTATAAAATATCTTCACGAAATTTGTCATACATTGTTATCCAAGGAATTGTTACAAGTTTTGACAAAATTGTTGGGATCAGCCCACTAAAGCATATAGCTGCCATACAAACTGTTTGAGCAAAATGAAGATACATTCCATTTATACCCTCTTATGCTATAGGAAATGCACCTGTGTGCGGTATTATAGCTTCGGTACAACCGTAGTTAACGGTTTTTTCTTATTTTAACTATCCACCAACAATTTATGTACATTTGATTGTCAACTGTCACCAACGTAGTCATAAATTACTCGCTGAATGTATTGTTTGTCGATTGTTTAGTTGACTTTAAATGGAAATAGCTATGCAATAATTTTAGACACTTCACAGAAATGCATTAGTAGTGATGTCTATAAGTGTCAAAGTGTCAGCTCGCCATTTTCTAAGTTAATTATTATATGCAATATTTACTGTTTGCCTTCTGTGTGTATGTGTTAATTTTCGCCAAAGTTCGACGTAATAATTTAAAGACTGTTTTACTTTATATGCAAATGTCAAATATAAATGCGATATATTTATATATTACATACGTACATATACACATACATATGTGCGGTATAGCGTCATATGTCAGTGTCGTTTCCCCAATATGCCGATCACCTTCGTTTATATGTATGCCAACACATTAGTACCTGCCTATAAACAAACATGACGACATATTTCTTAATTTTTCATGCCAGTCAGCTTTTGTTTTTTTTTGCTTTTGTCTGTCTGTCTCTTTGCTTTTTCGCTTATTTGTTAAAGTATATATACAATATACATACATATATACACCTAACACCAGTCTGTCTTACTTTTACAAAAAACTGGTTTCCAATTTGAATATGTATTTTAGTTATGTTTAGGTCATAAAATAAAGACGAATATGTTTTGTTGTTTATTTTCCTTTATTCATATACCACTTTCTGTCATAAATAAGCTATTTGTTGTCAAAAGAGCGCTAATAGTGATAGCAAAGAGCGCGCACGATCTTCTCACTCATACTCTCATTTATAAAAAAACAAACTCAAGAGTAATTTCAATTGAAAGATTACTCTTTTTGAACTCTCTTGAGTAGCCAACATGCTCTTTGTAACGTGAAAGCTGAAAGTTGTCGAATTTAGCTTTAGTTGTAAGTTGAGTTGTTTACTTTATTTGTTGGCCATTAAGCTTGGACTTCATACAAAATGTTTAGGCCTCTTTCACGCTTATACTAACTGGTCCCTACGAAGACAGCAACCATCGATTAAAAATATTTGCTGTTTAAATCACTTTAAAAATTAAAAGAAATAAAATAAATGTCAGACAATGATGACAACTTCAATAATTTGCGCTTCTGAGGCATCCTGTGCTTATCGATAATTGTTTATTATTAATTTCAAGCGTTATGTACCCATTTCATAACTGATTGTTTTTAATTCATATTAGAATTATTTAATAGTTTTGCACATCTCACATCAATATCGATTTCACCTTTGTAAAAACTCAATTTTTTGAAACTGTCTACTGTACTGTTATTTTACTGATCGATTTATTTTTCCTTACAGCAATCCCGACAGCCTAACGAATCGTCGTTGGGGTTCCATGAGACAGTAAGCAAAATTTTACTAAAGCTAACCAATTCTTAACGCTAAGCATATATTTTAACTAATATATATAATAATGTATATATGAGTTATATATCAACTTAACTTAATAATGCAATTAGCACTTGCAACCAGCTTGCTCAACAATTTGGCTTTTGTACATACAAAACTAATTTAAATTTTTTATTTTTTGCACTGACATGTAAGAAAATTGGTTGCGGTCATTTCTTGCTTCATTAACTTAAAATGCACTTAAATATTTATGCAAATATACAGATATGTGTCTGAATATTTTTAATTGCCTGCATCCTACTTTTAAGAAATAGTTCTATATGTACACACATATATTTGTATAACCGATATGTCTTAAAAATTTAAATATTTGTTCTCCTCACAAAACTTTTTTTTACAAAAATATTTTTATTCCCAGCAATAATATATTATATTAAATGATATGTTGCTAAATTTTTCGTTTTAAAACATAGTTTCACACAATAATAATATATTTTTCACAAAATTTGTTTTTTCTCCATAAAAAAATATGTTCCTTAGAAAAACTACAAAAGAAATGTATTTGTTTTTCTCCATAAAAACTGTTTTTTTTCTTCACATTAATAGTGTTTTTTTTTCAAAAAAAATATTTTTTTTTATAAAAACATTTTTTTTTTTTT